CACGCTAGATGGCATCCAAGTGATCTTAAATAATTCTGATAAATCAATATCTTGCCGTGTAGTGGCGGTTGAGAATATCCACTACCCCATATCTTCCCGTGGGTGTCGTAAGAGGCGACAGAGGGAGACAGGCAGGAGATGGGCAGCAGCATCTTTCTGATAACAACTGTGTTATAATAAAAAACTGCGGATGCCAACCCGCTCGCCAAGCGTGACAACTATGGCAAATATCCCCCCATGAATAACGACGCAAAAAAATGGCCCCCAGTCCCCGGCGGCCCCGCTATTCCTGGCTACGGTGGCGACCATGGTAACGGCGGGGCAGGGGGTGCTAAGAATCTCCGGTGGAGGTTCGGTTGCCACCTACGACGACTCGCCCTGGCAACATATAACGCACGCACTCTGGGGACTGACAAGAAGATACTGGAGCTGGAAGAAGAGGTAGACAAGTTGCGCTGGCATATTATTGGATTATCCGAGGTCCGAAGAGAGGGGGAGGATACGGCAATCCTCGAGTCCGGCAACTTGTTCTACCACCGGGAGGGCGACCATCTGTCCCAAGGAGGTGTCGGATTTATCGTCCACAAGTCTCTCGTCAACAACGTTGTAAAGATTGGGAGTGTGTCGACGAGGGTCGCGTACCTGATACTCAGAATTACCAAACGGTATTCGCTGAAGGTCATACAGGTTTACGCACCAACCTCGGCACATCCCGATGAGGAGGTGGAGGAATTGTATGAGGATATTTCCAGAGCCATGCATTCCTCCAAAACCCACTACACGGTGTTGATGGGAGACTTCAACGCAAAACTAGGCACAAGAGAAAGCGGTGAGCTGAAGGTGGGGAAATTTGGAGTAGGGCAACGGAACCGAAGGGGCCAGCAGCTGGCCGACTTTATGGAGAAAGAGGGACTCTTTATGATGAACTCTTTCTTCCAGAAGCGGCCCCACAGGAAGTGGACCTGGTCGAGCCCCGACGGTTCGACAAAAAATGAGATTGACTTCATTATGACGACCAGACGCCAACTGTTCAGTGATGTCTCAGTGATCGCAAGGGTGAAAACTGGCAGCGATCACCGAATGGTTAGAGGCACACTGAACCTAAATGTTAAGTTGGAGAGATCTCGTCTAATGAAGTCAACGCTCCGTCCCCCTCGTGCTCTAATCCAGAATCCCGAAACCTTTCAGCTTGAGTTACAAAACCGCTTTCAGTGCCTAGAGGATTGCAATGCAGTGGACGATATGAATGACAAGCTCGTGGAAACTGTCCATGCGGTCGGAGCTAAGTTCTGCAAGACCCGCCGCAGAAGAACACAAAAACTCTCCGATCACACTCTTAATCTCATGGCTGTTAGACGGGAGATGAGGCTGCAATCGTCAACAGATTTGACAGCATACAGGCAACTGAACAGACAGATCTCCAAATGCATGCGGCGAGACTTATGCAACTTTAATACTGCTCGTATTAAAAAAGCGATCGAGCGGAACCAGGGCTCCAAAGTCTTTGCCAGAGATCTGTCTGCCAGAAAGAGCCAACTGTCAAGGCTGAAGACTGAGTGTGGCAACATCGTTTCCGGGACACCTGAGATTCTGAGTGAGATTGAGAGGTTCTATGGGCAGCTGTACACATCATCGTTGGAGCCACACGCAAGTGTGAGTAACGATCCAAGAGCAAGTCTTATCCGACACTATTCCGATGATATCCCGGACGTCAGTCTGAGCGAGATTAGAATGGCTCTCCACCAACTTAAAAACGGCAAGGCCCCGGGCGAGGATGGAATTACAGCGGAGCTTCTGAAAGCGGGTGGAACACCGGTACTTGAAGTCCTTCAGAAGCTCTTCAATTCCGTCCTCCATGGTGGCACTACTCCGGAGGCGTGGAGCAGAAGCGCGGTGGTCTTGTTCTTTAAGAAAGGCGACAACGCTCTCTTGAAGAACTACAGACCGATTTCCCTTCTGAGCCGCGTCTACGTGCTGTTTTCGAGAGTCATTACGAATCGTCTCGCACGCAGACTCGACGACTTCCAGCCTCCCGAACAAGCCGGTTTCCGAAAAGGCTTCAGTACCATAGACCACTACATACCCTTCGGCAAATTGTACAGAAGTCCGAAGAGTACAATCTGCCACTTTGCCTGGCGTATATGGACCATGAGAAAGCCTTTGATTCCGTCGAAATTTGGGCAGTGCTACAGTCTCTTCAGAGGTGCCTAGTTGACTGTCGGTATATTGAGGTGCTGAAGTGGTTGTACAGTAGGGCGACGATGGCTATCCGAGTACAGAACCAGAGTACGAAACCTATCCAACTGCAGGGAGGTGTAAGACAGGGTGATGTTATATCCCCGAAACTCTTCACCGCTGCGTTGGAAGAGGTTTTCAAGATACTGGACTGGAAAGGATACGGTATTAACATCAATGGCGAGTACATCATTCACCTTCGATTTGCCGATGATATAGTCCTTATGGCAGAATCGCTGGAGGACCTTAGCACTATGCTCAATGACCTCAATGGTGTCTCCCAACGGCTAGGTCTTAAGATGAACATGGACAAAACAAAGATCATGTTTAATGTCCATGTCACACCTATGCCGGTAGTTGTTGGGAGTACTATGCTAGAAGTTGTTGACGAGTACGTTTACCTGGGACAAATAGTCCGACTAGGTAAGTCCAACTTCGACCGAGAGGTCAATCGACGGATTCAACTCGGCTGGGCAGCGTTCGGGAAATTACGACACATCTTCTCGTCAGGTATACCTCAATCTCTGAAAACTAAAGTGTATAACCAGTGCGTGTTGCCAGTGATGACTTACGGATCTGAGACGTGGTCCTTCACCGCTGGCCGTATGAGGACGCTCAAGGTCGCTCAGCGAGCTATGGAGAGGGCTATGCTCGGAGTTTCACTGCGTGATAGACTCAGAAATGAGGATATCCGCAGTAAAACCAGAGTGACCGACATAGCCCAACGGATTAGTAAGCTGAAGTGGCAATGGGCCGGCCATATAGCTCGAAGAACCGATAACCGATGGGGAAGAAAGGTTCTCGAGTGGCAGCCTCGTACCGGTAGGCGTAGTGTAGGGCGACCCCCCACTAGATGGAGTGACGACCTGGTAAGACATGCAGGAAGTCGATGGATGCAGATGGCTCAGGACCGTGCTTTGTGGCATTACTTGGGGGAGGCCTATGTTCAGCAGTGGACTTGTGAAGGGCTGTAATGATGATGATGATGAATATCTTAAGTTCAATAATTGGTTAATTTCCTTTCCAACCGTTAATAAACCGTATAAAATAACATAAAACTAATGACCTTAGACACCTATGTTTTTTTGTAAACAATTTTATTACTTATTATCGTTGTGTGGCATACCAAAAGTCGTAGGTAAAGCGACGTTGCCGTCCTTTCTGACATCAAACTGTCGTAGACAGAGAAGTCTACGGTACTAACGTATTCCTGACCTTGAATTGACGAAACAAAAGCGTTGCCAAACTTACGTACGTTCACTTGTTTGACTTGTATAAAATATATATTCTGATTTCGGTTGTCACGCGCTATGATTTGCGCGCGGAATTTCTTGTGTATTATACATATCTTGTATGTATGTTTTCATTGATTCGAATTGCAATATTTCTCTAGTATATATTTGAGACTATATTGTAACTTATCGTAGGTATAGTAATTAATTATTTTAAAAACGCAATTATGTTTTCGATAGTATTATTAACAGCAGGCTGGCCCGTGATTTTTCTGAAATATCGTCACAATACTGATTACCTACGTCATACGTGTCAGTATTATTTGGTACCTAAGCCATGCTCGCCATGAGGGTATTACCCGACCTGCCCCCTTCTTAGATGAATTTTTATTAAGAATTCATTAATTATAAGTACAATAAAATAAATGAACTTAAAAACAAAATATTTTTATTTACCTACACTCAAAACCCCATCAGAACTTTATCATTATCAAATGTTGCAGTCCACTGCTGAATATAGGTATCTCCTAATTCACAACGCTGAGTAGATACTGATCCTCATCTCAATCTACCTACTTAATGGTAGAACCACGCTGAAGCTATAATATAGTTGTAGCACGAATGACTGCCCGACCGGGGTAGAACCACGCTCTCACAGAATACCAGTGTAAAATAGTGGTTTAATACTGCTGTGTTTCGTATGGAGAGTGTAGAGATCCGGAGACCCTTTTTTACTGGAAACGGGGCATTCGATCCTAGTATTCAGAGGTGACAACGCATCTGAATTTTGATTCTAAATAAAGGATAAATGTAGATGTCCATGGGCCACAGCATCCACTAACCATCAGCTGGACTGTCTGTTCGATTGTCACCCTTGTTCTATAAAAAAAAAATAACGGTTTATAAAGCACTACAGAGTAGCGAAAAGCAATATAGAATATTTACTTTATCACAAAAACAATGTTTATTTGCCTATTTGTAACATAGGTACACTAGGAGAGGTTTTGGCCGTCGACGGATTGTTGGACAATTTGTCGCTCCTGTTTTGTTGTTTGAATAATGGTTTGAAGTAGATTTTGATTCGTAAAAGTGATACGATTTTGTGAATTGTGAGAAAACTATATAGATACCCCATAATAATAAGGCGTAGGGAAGTGACGACCCCATCGCCCGCTGACGTAACGGTTATGTGACAAAACCGCTACGTCAGCGCAGTCAGTCAGCACCTTGCCAAGAGGTGTTAGTGCCGTGCCTCGGCAAAAATTGATGGTGCAAAGGCCCGCTTGTGCACATGGCCTCAACATGAAACGGCGCCGGGTCTGGGCGTCTCCCGCTAAATGACGCCCTAAAATGGATGATGGAATTAAATAGAACGCGCAAAGGGCCGTTGCCTGGAGGTCGCCAGGGCGCGTCTGGAGCTGGCGCTGGACGCGGCAGCATGCGAACCGCCAGCTGAGCGCGAGGTGCTGCACGACCACCCAGCAGCCCTTCGCGAAAGGGGGAGAAACTGGATGTTTAGCGTATCGGGCTAGGATGCATCGTCTTTTTGCTGAGCTGGAGCCATCTTTAACCGTCACAGAGCAAAACCTGGCAGACCGAGTTCGGTATATCTTGCGCTCAAATATATTTGATGTCGCCGAACTCGAACGGCTACGACGTGAGGCTGTTCCCTCGTCGGATGAGAATGCTACGGCTGAGGATGCGGCGCCACAAATGATAGAGCAACCCGCAAACGTGGATGCCGCCGTGAATACCCCAGTCGTGGTTGATTCAAACGATGATGGAACAGTCGCCCAGGAACTGGAATTAGAGCATATGAGGAGTACATTGGAAGAGGCGATTGTGGAAACGCAGTACGCCTCTCAAAAATCGACCACGACTTCCCCGCATAGCCCTAAGCAAGCGGAATCGGGCTGTCGTGAGGGCTCTGAACCCAATGCTGGTAACCTATTTGGAAGCCAGCCGGGACCTTTGCGAGACGGACTCAATTCTTTTTGGCGCCGCGCTGGCAGTCTGCCGTATCATAGGCGCCAAGGTTTCCACGGCTGGACGCGCTACTGGCCATAGTAGCGCTATCCCAGCATGGAGAAGAAGAATTGAGGAACGTATCGCAAAGGCTAGAGCTCTCATCGGCAGACTGATATGCTTCAGATCAGGCACAACAGGCCAAGAATTGTGCGCACCGTCAGGATGGCGTTTGCTGGGACAAATGTCAGTTTGTCCCAGCCGGATATAACACAAAAACTGACGGAGCGCATAGATGATCTGAAGCAGAGAATCGCTGCTTGGGGAAAGCGGATTCGGCGATATACCGAGAGTTCGACACGGTTCAACCAGAATCGTCTCTTCCAGAGTGATCAGAAGAGGCTCTATGAATCATTGGAGCGACCAATGGTAAGTGAAACGGGTCCAGCACCGAATCAGGCCGACACTGTAGCATTCTGGCGCGGCCTGTGGCTGACCACGCTGTGGTTTACGGGCTCTGAAGCCCGTAAACCACAGCGAGGGCCCTTGGACGGAAGTTGTGGCGAGTCAGTGTGCGGGTATTACGCCCATGGACCCCGTCATCATAACGCCGGATGACCCCGAACTGGAAAAGTCCGGGGCTTGACGGGCTGCATCACTACTGGCTGAAGGGGTTCATGGTGTGTCACTCTGTGCTTGCCCGACAGTTTCAAGAGGCTCTCAACCAGAAGTCGCTCCCAAGCCTCTTCACTACTGGGATCACTCATTTGGTTCCTAAAGACCAGGGTACCACAGACCCGAGCAAATACCGCCCCATCACGTGTCTACCGACCATATACAAGACACTAACATCCATTTTCAGCGCGAGAATCACTTGTCACCTGGACTCAAATCAGGTGATGTCGCGCGCTCAAAATGGATGTCGGGGTGGTGGTCGTGGAACCAAGGAACTCCTCATTGACGCGGTCATTGGCAAAGTGGTGAAACGCAACCGTCGGAACTTCTCCGCCGCCTGGATAGACTACAGAAAGGCATTCGACTCGGTGCCCCATACATGGCTAAAGAGAGTCCTCGAGCTGTACAAGATAGACTGTACAGTTAGAGACTTCCTCGAGCAGTGTATGGGGCAGTGGAGTACGATCCTTTGTCATCTGGGCGAGCGGATGATGGCTGCGGAGAACCACATAAGGATAAGAAGGGGTATCTTCCAGGGCGATTGTCTGAGTCCAATCTGGTTCTGCCTCTCTCTGAACCCTCTCAGTACCTTACTGGAGGGCTCCGGGAGGGGATTTCAGCTACGGAAAGGAGGAACAAAAGTGACCCACCTTTTCTATATGGATGACCTCAAGTTATTCGCCTCCAGTCGCTCCTATCTTATGGAATTGCTAAACATCACTTGTGAATTTAGCAATTCCATTGGAATTGAGCTTGGGACGGATAAGTGTGCGGTCCTCCATGTTGAAAGGGGAAGGGTTGCTAACTCTGAGGGCGTAGACTTATCTATGCCCGTCAACTTAAGGACCCTTTCCGAGGCTGAAACATATCGATACCTGGGTATGTCACAAAACATCGGTATCGATGAGACTGGTATCAAACAGTCAGTTTGCGACGTATTTTATGCACGCTTGACCAAAGTGCTTAACAGCCTTTTGTCCGGTGTGAATAAGGCACACGCATATAACGGCTGGGTCATGCCTGTCCTCATGTATACCTTTGGCATACTCAGGTGGACTCAGACTGAACTTAACGCCCTGGATAGAAAAGTCCGCACTACCATGACGTCCCATAGGATGCATCATCCGAGATCGTCGGTAATGAGGCTGTACTTGTCGCGGAAGCATGGTGGTCGTGGCTTCTTGAGCGCGCTCACCATGCATAATCGCGAAGTGTGCAGCCTCCGTGATTACTTCCTGGCGAGATCGGATGATCCATTCTATAAGGACGTCATTTCTTGTGATAAAGGACTTACCCCTCTATCCTTAGCCAACGAGCAATGGCAAGACCCGGCAGTGCAGAGCATTTCCGACCGGGAGACCGTATGGAAGGAGAAGGAGCTCCACGGGAGGTTCTACAAGGCTCTACATGAGCCTTTCGTAGACACAGTAGCCTCCCTCCACTGGCTACGCTTTGGTGATCTCTTCGGGGAAACCGAGGGTTTTGTCTGTGCAATACAGGATCGGGTTATTAAGACCAACAACTATCGGAGATACATCCTAAAGGATGGCACCGTCGACATCTGTCGAGCTTGTCGCCATCCCTGTGAGTCACTTAGGCATGTTATCTCCGGTTGTTCGGCGCTTTCTAACTCTGAGTACTTGCACAGGCACAACCTAGTAGCCAGAATTCTACACCAGGAGCTCGCTCTGAAATACGGCCTCGCGGATCGGAAATTGCCGTATTACAAGTACTTGCCGGAAGCCGTGCTCGAAAATGATCGCGCCAGGCTCTATTGGGACCGGGCCATCATCACAGACAGGACTATTCTTGCGAATAAGCCTGATATTGTGCTGATGGACCGGGCACAGTCAAGGATATTTTTGGTCGACATTACCATTCAGTATGACGAGAACCTCGTGAAAGCCGAAACAGACAAGCAAACAAAATATCTGGACCTGGCTCACGAGGTGACCGACATGTGGGGTCCGCTCTGCCGACCGAAATAATTCCTGCAGTCGTCTCTGCAAACGGGCTAATCCCAGTCAGCCTCTCGGGTCATTTGAAGCGGCTGGGACTACGTGGCGGACCGCTCCAGGTTCAAATGCAGAAGGCGGTGCTCCTCGATACCGCCCGCATCGTCCGCCAGTTTCTTTCCCTTTCCCCCCTAACCCTCGGCCGTTTGGTCTCCCCTGCCGAGGGCCTCCATCTGGTTGGGCTTTTATTTATTTATGTACTTTTATATTTATTTTATGTTATTGATATTTATCTATATTTATCTTTTCATTTTCATTTATAATTATATATTTATAGAACCCAACCAGATGAGAAAACTATATAGATACCCCATAATAATAATAATAATAATAATTTGTTGTTTCTCACATAACTTTTACAAACAAATCATATTGAAGCTCTGTAGCCCGTGGTAGTTGAAAACTGTGTTACAGGCTACAGCATCTTCCCCGTTTCAGTGACATATAGTTGTAATGTGACCAACTATTATAGCAAACGGTATAAAAAATTAATTAGAATGACATCAAAAATAACATATAGGTTAACAAAGTATAAAGAGAGAGAAAAAAAAACCAATAATAATAAGGTAAATAAAAAGTGTGTGTGTGTGTGTGTGTGTGTGTGTGTGTGTGTGTGTGTGTGTGTGTGTGTGTGTGTGTATGAGTGTGAGTGTGTGTGTGTGTGTGTGTGTGTGTGTGTGTGTGTGTGTGTGTGTGTGTGTGTGTGTGTGTGTGTGTGTGTGTGTGTGAGAGTGTGTATGTATGTGTGTGTGTGTGTGTGTGTGTGTGTGTGTGTGTGTGTGTGTGTGTGTGTGTGTGTGTGTGTGCGTGTGCGTGTGTGTATGTGCGTGTAAACGTCGTAATATTGTATAAGAATTATTTAGTGGAAACGATAAGATTCTCAGTAGCGTCATAGTCAAAATTACTTAACCACTTTAGTAAAATTGACTTAATATTATGATTACTTAGATGGGCGGTTTTAAAAATTGTATTTAATTTGTTGTACAGTAATGTAGCAGAATAGTTAAAGTGTCTTCTAGCGAAGTTGCTCTTGTAGGCAGGCAAGGGATAGCGGACCGTCCTCTTATCACTTATTTGTATTTGAGAAGCAGTACTTTTGTGATATTTACGAATAGAATGGAAAATATATAACTTTCGTATGGTAAGTACGCCACATATTTTGTATAAGTCCTCAGTCGGGTGTCTAAAAGGTAGGCCTTTAATAACTTTCAATAAAGCACGTTGTGCACGTTCGAGTTCGATAAGGTGTGTTTTAGCTGCCCCACCCCAAGAACTAATGCAGTAAGTCATAACACATTCTGCAAGGGCTTTATATACTTTCATTATAGCCTCATTATCTACAACATCTCTTAAGTTTTTAAACACATATATGAGCTTCCTTAATTTATTACTAACAGCAGCGATATGTGCTAACCAATTTAACTTGTCATCAATAATTACGCCCAAGTATTTTACATTGTCACTACGCAATAAGTGCGGACAGTTACATTCAGGTGTGGTGGTTGGAAACCTGTTACAAGGAAATTTATGTATTACTAATTTTGAATTTACACTTGGCTTGCAAGCATTTGTAATTCTAAAGCTTAAGAACTTTGTTTTAGACGTATTTAATGATAGTAGGTTGTCTTCCAGCCATGCAGTAACGGTTTTTAAACCTTCTTCATCTAACTTGTATACTGAGTTCCAGGTTCGTTCCCGAAATAGAAGTACAGTATCGTCTGCAAACATCTGAATTGTTGCACCATTTACTACTGTATTACACAGGTCATTAATGTAGATCACAAACATCGTGGGGCCCAGTGTACTTCCTTGTGGAATACCATATGTACAGTATGCGCTGTCACTTAGTAAGTTATAAAGTCGTACGTTTTGTTTTCTTTCACTCAGATAGTCTTTAAACCACATTAGCGGGGTACCTCTTATACCAAAGCCTTCCATACGTGCCAGTAGGATGGGAATAGACACTGTATCGAATGCTTTTTGAAGATCCAAAAATACGCCAAGGCATTTATCACCCGCATTCAGATGATTGACTATTTGTGATGTAAGATTTTGAACAGCATCATCCGTAGATCGTCCGCATCGAAATCCAAATTGGTTATTGGATATAAATTTATGTTGTTCCAGATATCTTAAAAGTCTTTTGTTTACAATTTTTTCCATAACCTTAGATAAGGAAGTCAACAATGAAATGGGCCTATAGTTGGTGGGAAGTCTTTTGTAACCTGATTTGTACAATGGTGTAACTATTGTTCTTTTGAATATATTTGGGAAGGTACCTGTATTAAAGCTCAGGTTACACAAATGCATCATAGGTTCCGCCAGAACATGACAACTGTCTTTCAGTACCCTACAAGGTATGTCGTCCCAGCCAGTTGCACTAGATTGCCTGAGGTCCTTTATGGCACTTACTACTTCCAACGGATTAACTTGATAAAGCACAAATGAGTTTAGTGGAGCACTTTTTGTAAAGATTTTGGACGCTAATTCAATGTCTGTAGTATTTTAGGTCTTGAGTGTATTATTAGCTATACTGTTGCCAATACTGGTAAAATAATTATTGATTTCGTTAAGTAATTCCCTTACTGTTGGTTTAATTTTCAAGAGACATTCAGCTGTTTCGGTTCTTTTTGTGAAACCCCCAACTTCTTTAATTAGGTTCCACGTTTTCTTACTATCTTTAAGATGTTTAGTAAATTGCTGCTTGTAATAATTAATTTTAAGTGTTTTAATTATTTTATTACATATGTTTCTATAATTTATATATTTAAATTTGAGTGTGTTATCATTTGTAGACTTTTTATAATTGTTATACAATTTATTTCTTTTCCTTATTGCTCTAACTACTCCGTCCGTAATCCATGGTTTTAGGCGTCTTTTCCTGTTAGAGACTTTTATAGCGTATGTGTTTTTATTGATCACATTTTTCATTCTATCTATAAGATTTTCTTCAGCTTTGTTGGTGTCATTTATAAGTAAATACTCTTGCCAATTTTCCAATGCTAAGTCGTTTTTGATAGCACTATAGTTTATTTTATTTATGTACTTCAATTTGTTATTTTGAGCAGGTGAGTTAATATTTTCTACAAGTAGCAAAATTGGCGAGTGATCGGTAAGTTCACTAAAAACGAACGATTGCCATCGTTGGTTTGTTTTTATCATGAAATGGTCAATACAGGTGTTATATCTAGTTGGTTTATCGACGCCCGGAATGAGACCATAATAGGCCAGTTGCGTTAGGTACGAGCAAGCGTGACTAGATATTTGATTAGGAAGAATATCAATGTTGACATCTCCAGCCAAGATAATATTGCGTGAGGGTAGGTTCTGAAGTAGATTAACTAATGAATCTATGTAGTTTGTAGGCTTAGAAAAACAAGGTGGTCTATACGTGCAAATGATAACAGTGTCGTTCTGCAATGTTACTGTTAAACAATTACCTTCTGTTATACAGTATTCATTCACCGTGCATTCTATGGTGTTTCGTATGTAAACTACCACACCGTCGTTTTGGTTATAACTCTTTTTAGTAAAATGTACTTTATAGCCATATATATCAGGTGAATTTTTATATTCATTAGTCTAGCATTCTGTTAGTATTAGAATATCGATAGTGTATTCCAGGCTAGAGAGAAAAATAAGCAATGTATCTAGATTACGATTTATGCTCCGAATATTAAGAGCTAATATTGATAAGTTATTACAAAAGCTACTCAATAGTTCTGAACAACATGTTGTGTCATCTACATAGATACAGTGTGGATTAACATTATTGTCAATGTCTTTAATATTATATGGATTGAATTTTATTAAAGAATATAACAGTATCAATATAATCAAGGACAAATTTTATGCATATTGAAAAGTATATTAAAGATGGTATATTTTGTGGTATTGTTAAGTATATTTGGAAGTGGACGACGCTTATAATATGTAATTGAAAGTAGGTGTTTGTATGTGTGTTAAAATACTATCAATATTAAGAGAAAACATATTTTAAAGAATATTAAGGTACTAAACAAAATTGAGTGCTTATAAATATGCATTAATACTAGCGGTGTAATCTTCAACATATAGCAGCCGATGAATAGTGCTAGTCATATTTCCTTGTTCTTTAGATTATTAATGTCACTTTCCGAATTTATGCCAATCTGTGGAGCACCAGATTCTTTTCTTAAAAACACCTTACCAAAGGAAGTCCAACAAAACTTATAGTTATACATGACAGCATGTTTTCTTGCTAGATAAAAGAGATGTTTGCTTTTTGGCGTTAGATTTTCGGAAATGAATACTGGTGTGCGTGGACCTTTGATTGATAATTGATCTGTGTTTAACTTATCTTCTTTGTGTTCTTTGTTGAAGTATTTCGAAGCCCTTATAAATTTTTCCTTTACTAATACTGTCGTGAACTCGACAATTATCGGCTTGTTTGTTGATTTTGAATAGGGTCTGAAAACATCTTTAATATCCGAGTTCTGTATTGGAATTTTAATTATGTTTCCTATAGTTATAACAGTATTTGCCAAATATTGGTGTAATTTTTTTTTGAATTTTGAATAAGAATGACTTATATCAACTTGTTTAAAAACAATTATAACGCGACTTATCGAAAAAAAATATTGAGTTCCTTATGTTTAAAAAAATATGGCATTCGAAATTTAAGTATTTACGAGGAAAGCAGAACTTTCAGTTTGCCCTATGTAGAGATCAAAATGCTTCAAACTCAGACTTAAGTTGTAAAATATAATTTTAAAGGTACGATTTATATCTTGTTTATAAAGAACAAACCTCCAATAAACTTGAATAAACATTTGTTATTTACCTTTTCGCCGCTATCTGAAGGCAAGTAAAACGTGAGCACCGTAAGGAAAGAAATCCCCATGCACGGTATAATGATGTTGACGGTGTAGAACAGCGTTTTCCTCCGCATCGTAATGTTGAACGTAATATCCAGGTATGGCTCATCACAGCATGTGTAAAATTTTTCGTTTCTGCGCAAAAAAAAAAAAACAAATATTTTAGCGTATTAATTCTTGTTAACATCTTTCAGGTTGAAATGTCTAAATTATAAATTATACATGGTACATGTTACTAATATAATTAAATTTTATTGCCAGGTTTGGTTAATTGCGGTGGGTGCGATATAAATTTTAATGTCGCGACTCCGGCTCACCCCACAAGTAAAAGCACTCCGCGAAATTCGGTATAAAGGAAATCATAAAAAAGTACAAAGTGTTTTTAAGCGCTTACCCATTTCACTTTTTTTCGGCGGATTCAAATCCGCCATTCGATTACCGTTTTGTCGTGAACCACTCCTAGCATTAAAGGCTTATTTGGAGTGGTTAACAAGGATATTTATAACGTTAATAGCGATACTATTGGTCTTTAAAAATACGTTAAAATACTTTTAAAATACATTGTTGTTATATTTGTACTAGTAATATTTGAACCAGTTTCACAATATTTATTTTAAATTATCTTAATACTAATTACAAAAACCGATCGGTCTCGCCTCGCGGCATTTTCAGGGTACATAAAAATAACCGAAATATTCCCCTTTCAATTTTATATTCAGACTTGGATAATTTGAATTATAAGAGTGTTCACATTGAAATGAAATATAATACCGCATTCACAATTTATGACGAGAGGGAGACACGTAAAGTGCATGTATGAGTATGAATGCGCAATTTTGTAGAGTGTGTCATAAAAAAGGTTCGATAATATTAAAGCCCGCGACATATGATACGAATATAAAATCATGAGGTGAGAAAGACCTCTTCACTTGAAAGAAACAGCAATAATATAATTATTATAAAGTAAAGCTTTAGGTATACATCACAAAAATATTCTTTTTTTTTATCAACCCACTAATTTACTGATGAAGGTGAGCCTCACCAAGTGTAGACAGGAATCACCATCATCGTTACATTTGACTGCCTTTGGCTGGTCTAGTGATCGTAAGAGTTATTGCTGATCATGTGGTCCCGGGTTGAAAATTGGGTCGGGTCAAAATCAGTCTGAAAACATGTTCATCCGTTTGTCCTGCGCCTGATCTCTCTCCGGTCGCGTCGGATTGCTCTCCCATCGGACTATGAATGAGAGTGGGATGTAAAGAGTGCACCAGTGTTTGTGCACATACTTGTGCACGATGATCCTTTCCTGTGCAGATGGCTAGTCTCCTAGTACTCTTAGAAAGAGATATATACGAGATATTTATTTTAATATATGTCATATTGACCATGAGTATATTGCGGCGTATCTCATAGTAGCCTTTTTCGACACCCACGGGACGGTATTCGATAATAGATTCTTCTACGCTGCCACCACAAGGCATTATCAACATTTCATAAAAAAATTGTATCAGTCAGAAATATGTAAAATAATACAAAAGATGTCAGAGAATGGAATAGAATAATTTATTCAATATAGATTATTACATAATACCTATTGAAAGTCATTTTTTTCTTTACCCAGCTATTTCAGGAAACCCAGCGGAATATTTTTTTAAACATATATGTCACTATTATAATTTTGTACAATTTTCTAAATAAATTTTAATAAAACTAGCATGGTGGCGATCACCTCACTCCTAGGGGTTATTTTTATTTATATATTCCTTTATATTATAATAAGCCATGTTGTACAATTTTTCTTTAATAAAACTTTTAAACTTGTTTATTGACAGACTTTGAACATTTTCTGGGATTTTGTTATAAAAGCGTATATATTGCCCCATTAAATTACTAATTCTGTGGAGTAGCTTAAGGTACTACTTATTACATGAGCTATATGCCAGTGATGGTCCCGTCAAAATCGTTCCAGCCGTTTTAATTAACCGTTTCGATTAGCTGGAACAAACAGACCGACAGACGAAAATTTGTATTTTTTTTTTGTTTTAAGTAGGTACCGTATATACTTTCATATGCATTTATTAAATGGCTGTTATTTTCTTAGTAAACACCTTTTATTCAATGATTTTTACTAAGTTATCAATCCTTCACAGTAGCGATATATCGTCTTTTTAAGAGCTTAGCTTTTGAGCTTTTTGAAAATTCATTATTATCCTTTGTTGGAATATATAGGATACTACTACGGAATATGAACTTAATACGCAAAAAAATAACTTAATTTTTTTGAAAAACAAGAAATATAAGTTTAATTTATTTTAAGCATCTTAAAGACATTCTAGCTGATCACTTAATATTTACTTTTTAAATTTTGTATTTAATTCAATGCGGAAAGACTTCCTCTTAAATTTGTAAGTTGTCGCTTTACAGATGGCACGAACAATGAATATTGGAGGAGATACAAATAATGAAAACTAATATGGAAAAGCAATACCGCCTTGGAGCAAGCGAAAAACAAGGTCAACCCACTCAGAGGATAGTGACAACAAAGCGTTTAATTTGTCAATCGCATTATAGATGTTATCAATATCAGATAGCATGTTAATATGTAAGTAATCGCCTTACAGATGACACATACAATTAATATTGAAAGAGAAAGAAATAACGAAAACCGAGAAAATTAGTAGAGAAAGAATACCGCTTTGAGATACGCCAGAAACAAGGCCAACCCAATCAGAGAACTTTGACCTGCGTGAACAAAATATAAAAAAAACATAAAAATAGTTCATAAACATAGGGTGCGTTTGGCAGAAAAAAGCGCTAGCAAGCGCTTGTAAGCAAAATGGCGATCGTAAGCGATAAGCGCTGTCAAATCGTAAGTAGCTATTTTCCTCTAGGACACGATGTTAGTTTTAACCGGGGAACCTAACCTAATTTTAAATATATGTTTGTGAAGTACTCATAATAAAAACTTACCAATCATGAATTTTTAATAAAATGTATATGTCTATTCATGTCATTATATTACTTAAAACTAATATTGCAAAAAACAACTTATAAACTCTACTTCAAAAAATAAGCAAAATGGCGGATTGTGTCAGCGCTACTGAAGTAGCAATCGTGTCCTGGCCGAAAACTATTTTAGCGCTAGTAAGCGCTTGCTAGCGCTTTTTTCTGCCGAACGCACCCATTGAAATAGTTCTTCGATAATATCAGCAAAATCTGTACACAATATCTTTGAGGATAATTATCCACGGAGACATTGTGTTCCGTGCAGCCGAGACGATATTGTTGCCTTTTTTCAAGTCCATTAGAGTTAACGCGGTGGATCCTGCTGTAGCCTATTAAGCGGGGAAGGGCAACGCTTTTACGGAATACCAGCGTAAAATAGCCGTATAAGGTATTGTGATTCGTATAGCGTGTCACGAGAACCGGAGACCCTTTTTACTGGTAACGTTAACGAGGCATTCCATCTGAGTACTCGGGGGTGACAAGGCCTTTGCATTTTGGTTCAAAACGGAACACAGTTGTGACTGAGATATTATAAATAACAATAATATAAATAAATAAATAAGAATGATAACTTAGTATATTCAAGCAATGTTAATCAAAACAAAACTGATCCAAAAGAATTGTATTGTGAAAGCATGTAGGTTTTCCGAGCTTATACATTGTGATGCAGGCGGCACAACGGCACGTTTTATCTTTAAAGAGCGAATCGTGATAAGGATGACGAGTGGGGACTATTTTAGCGGAGCTTAAATAGTCCCCACGGTTACACGACGTCGTAAAAGTGACGACTTGATAATTGATGGTCTCTTAATTACGTCTCTCGTATGTTATGTATTGTGGACAGATAATGTCTAAGAAAATGGTGAGGAGTGTGTTGTTGAATCATGGCTTACTTATTCATTTCATACGATCTCGTTCATATTCACTATATTATATGCACACTATTCAATCTCAGAGCGAGGGCGCTAGTAAACCCGTTTGAGTCCAAAATATATAAGTGCGTAATATGTTTTTTTAAATAATCAATACTACTATTTTAAATAGGATCATATTACGCGAATAACAGGTCATTATAAAACCAGGGATTCGATTTCCGTCAGCCATCCATCCATTCATTAATGCCTTCTTCTGTTGAACATAGACTTACCCGATAGATCGCCTCATAGTAGGGATATTTGTTAGAGTAAGCACGCTTTGCAAAGATGGGGACGCTGGGAAAGGGTTGAGATCCGAAGTTTAATATTTTTACGTTTAATTTTAATATTTTCCTGTTATCAGGAAAATACTGCTGCCCACCTCCTGGTTTAGTTTCTGATGATATAGGGTAGGGTACCCCGTCGACATCAAAGAAATTAATTATTGCAGTTTTATGATTACGAACGATACAATGACTTGTTGCATGCGCAGTGGTGAAGATAAACATTGTGAGGAAATCTGCATGTCAGAGAAATAAAAATATTTCAAGAATATGTGAAGTTCGTCTACAAACTAGTGTAGCGCGGCAAACTTGTCACTGCCCTCTCAGAAATGAAAGGAGGCTTTTGCCCCGCAATTTAAAATATAAAAGCTGTATCTTTTCAAAGTTCTAACTGTCATCCGCAAATTTATAGATTATGAGCGAAAGGTCGTGATAAGTTGATATTAACTAAGTACAAGTGCGAAATTTGACAGGTGCAAAGAGGTTTGAATACAGCTGGATGCCGTTACAATCAAAACTAATAACATTTAGAGGTATTTGATATTTTAAAGCGATGAAATTTTATTGACATAAAGTAATTTAGTCCAAGTGGTGACCGTCAAAAAAGGTTTGTCATCCGGAATAAGTAGAAAAGTACTTATATTTTTTATTTTCTGGGTATTAGTTAAATAATAGACCAGTGGTTTGTAACTTGTACAATTTTTTTGATTTAAATTTTGTGAATTTTTTGTTGCAAAATTGACATATAAAAGGTAGATGCAATTTTTTTGATTTCATAGTGTTTGATCAGTAAATAATGAAACTTCGAGTCTGGCACCCTTATTTTTGACAAAACAGTTTGCAAACCATCCGTAAAATATTCATTTTAACGAAAAATTTTCTGTTTTTTATTCCTTCCTCGTTTAAATAAAATGGGTCTGGTACGTAAATATTTGAAGAAAATCTCGCCAGTTCAAAAGGATCATTCGCTGCTACTTATTAAGCGCGGGCTTTTGTTTTAATCTTATAATTTTTTAATTTCTTAATAATAATTTAAGAATTTCTAATGACGGAGAAGTACATAAATGTTTTCACGTCTCCGAAAAACTAAGGGAGCAAACTATTTTTGGAAAAAGTACGTTTGTGAAAAATTGTTGAATGCAGGTTGAAAATAGCATTTTAAAGTTCTACATTTTTTAGTTTTGAAATAAAACTTTGTAAAATATTATTATAAGCAACGATTATGTTATATAATAGACTATATACGTAGCGTACATATCTTCTCTGTTCAACATTTGTTTTCTTTAGTCTCTCTAAGTAATTTTTTGCTGAGATATTCGACTTGAAATGAAAAAAGAATCCTCTTATCTTCTATTATCTATATACTAATTGATAACTTATCACTGGACAACATATTTCATAAGATCAAAATGTTTCACAAGTTACTTTCTAATTTAATATTTTTTTTACTCTCATGTTTGATTCGAAATAAGTTCAATAGATGATATTTTAAATTAAAATAGTTGATAATTTAGTAAAAAAGTAAATTGTGTTTAATTTTAAAGTTAGATTTCTTAAGTGCGATCGTCATTTATTTAATCAAAGTATTATTAGTCAGTATTGACAATGGGCGTTTTCCTCTTCAGAATAATAAACTCTGTTGTTAAATGTAAGATCTTCATCCTCTAGGACGGTTTCATCATTTGAGAAAATTTGTTCAATGGTTAATGGCATTGCGTCGCCTTCAAACCATTTTAGTGTTTTACGGGTGGTCTGGAAAACAGATCTGTCATGAATAGGGTGCCAGACTTGAATTTTCATTATTTACAAATCAAACTCTATCAAATAAAAAAAAATACACTTACTTCTTATGTATCAATTTTGCAAAAAAATTACCACCAGACCGATAGTTATTATTTAACTAATAACCAGAAAATAAAATAGTACCTATATTTTTCTACTTATTCCGGATGACCAACCTTTTTTGACGGTTACCGCGTGGACTAATTGAAATTAATTGTGGCGAATTGTGGTCTTGAAATATGCTAAGTAATAATTCTAATTAAATCAGTGCAAATTATGTTTCGTTGTCTTAATGACAAATTCCGAATAATTATAAAAAAATGTTAAAGGTAGGTATTAATAATTAAAGGTTTCATATATTATAGTGCCGCAAGTGTACGCGCAAACATAGGACCTCATGACCAAATATAACCTATCAAGTGGAGTCGGAAACATAGGTATAAACATAAAGCAGCTAGACCTCGATAGCCAACAATTTGTGTTGTTGCACAAAGGTGGACCCGGTGGGAATTTGAAACTCGAACCCGGCGAAGTACCCAGCTAAATTAACACATCAAAGCAGTATAACGGCCAACTTGCAGCATTTCTGTATCGTTTACGCATTTTGAGTTAGTTCTATAGTAGCATTACAAACGTTTATACGGCTACTGTAAAGTATATTGGGGCTCAATATTTTTGAAATGCCAATATAAAGCATCAAGATGCTCGTTCAACATAAGTTTCTATAACTATTCGTTTGTTAAAATCCTTCTGTGTTACTTTGTAGGTAAACCGGCTACACGGGCATCTGTTACGTTGTCTACCTGACGTTCTTTTTCTTCAGACCTATTTCGAATTCAGTCTCCACGCTAAGTACTGTGAAGGTTATATGAAACACTCATTCTTTCCTTCATGCTTGAATACGATGCAACGCTTACGCGATATCCTGCCTGAGAGTTCGTTTGTGTTGGTGCTACCCTCTTTCTTACTTCGATCGCCAAGCAGAATTGTGTTCACTTTTGTATTCCGTTTCAAAGAAACGAGATTTTGTATAAGAAAATGCTATGAGGTATCTCTCTAGGAGGTAATCTAGGTGATAGGACTCTTTCTTACATAAGAGTTCAGTACCAACCCCCTACCCAGCACTAGCAGACAAATGTATGTAATGTATGCAAAAATGAAATGTAGTTCCTAAACTCTAACTTTGTAAGAGACGACAGATATGACCCAAAATATTTTTTAAAGAGACATGCGAGACAATTCTTTGTACAGGATGTTTTACATAAAAGCAAAGCCACATATGTCTGTAGGTGTAATGTGTTGTGAATATTTTGAAATAGGATTGCCATATATTATATAAGAATAAATAAAAATAAGCCGAATGGTTAAAAGTAATAAAAAACTCCGACCGCTTTAAAGTTTACTGAAAAAGATTTTCTCCTTCCTTTTTTGTATTTGAAGATGCAATATATGAATATTACTAAGCCTATGTCACTTCCACAATTAAAACGAATTTAACGACTCCTCATATTTTTAAATCCATCATGTCGTTTAAGCTACAGAGTGTGCTAAAAAAGTAGACTTACGAGTACATACTTTGTTGAACAAAGTCTCGGATTGGGGGCGACTAAATCTCGTCCAGTTCAATCCCCAGAAGATACAAGTTTGCGCGTTTACTGCTAAAAAGAACCCCTTTGTCGTATCTCCTAAGTTTCACGGTACTCTTCTTATTGTCTCAGCCAGTATCGTTATCCTCGGCGTCGACATATCGAATAACGTGCAGTTTCGAGGTCATTCAGAATAGAAAGCTAAATGGGCCTTTAAAAAGTTTGGCGTGCTCAGCAGAGTGGAATATTATTACATGCCAGCACACCGCCCGCAACTTTACAAGGCGCAGGTTCGGCCTCACATTGAATACCGTTCCCATCTCCAGGCCGGGGCTCCCCAGTGCCAGCTCTTACCATTTGATCGCAAACAGCGCAGAGCGGTTCGAATCGTCGGTGACTGCGCTCTTTCTGATCGGCTTGACTCACTAGCACTGCGAAGAGATGTTGCATTTCTTTCCGTATTTTATCGCATCAATCGCGGGGACTCTGAGGTATTGTTTGGACTAATTTCAGCCGCTGAATTTTACCAGCGCACATCGCAATACCATCCATACCATCTTAATGATTGGCGGTCCGCCACTGTTCGATTTACATGAAGTTTTCTTCCTTGAACAACTTCCTTGTGGTATTGATTACCACAAGCAATTTTTCCGAACCGATACATCTTATGGACCGTCAAGAAAAGAGCCTACTCTTCTAAATATTCTCGAAAAATATTACCCTCCTTCTGAGTTAGTCGGGTAACAAATAAGTTTTATTTGAAGCAATATTCCGTAGCATATAAGCATATAATTTATTTCTCGCTGTAAATTTCACAGTACGCGGGTAGCCCGGGTTCGATCCTCGCTGCTAAATTGCTAATTACAATTTTGAATACTGATTTATCACGTGCTCGGCGGCTCGGTGAAAGAAAACATTGTGAGGGTACTTGCATATTTGAGAAATGAAAAAATATTTCGGCAACTTGTGAAGTCGGCTAACACGAATTGAGGCCCGCAGCGGACATAGCGGACTAAAAGCTTTTCAGAAAGGTGAGAAGACCGATCCGAACTTATATTGGTTGTAAAGTTTACATTGACTGCCTCGTTGGTCCAGTGGTCGTATACGCGATTATTGATCGTGATTTTCCTCGTTCGAACCCCGGATCGGGTTAAAATTAGTTATTGCGTTTTTCTGTAAGAAATTCTCAGTAGCAGCCCGGAGTGAGGAAGTTGGCGGTGTCTCACCCCCGTGCCTCAGAAATCATGTAAAGTCGTAGGTCCTGCACTTGATCTCTCACCGGTCGTGTCGTATTACCATACAAGACTATGAGAGTGAGGGAATAGAGAGTGTACCATTTGTGCATATACCCGGGCACTATAATCCTGTCCTGCATATGTAGGTATCGATGGCTATTCTCCGTGGAGACTGGCCATATCATCTGGTTTGATAGTGTTTGATAATCAAAAGATTTTATAAATTATAGAAATGAGTTGCCTTGCAGTAATGATAAAAAAATCACAATCACGTCGATATCAGGTAAGTTCATAAAATTATTTTTGGTCCTACTAAGCATGAGAATTAAAAATTATATAATAGGTAATACACGTAAAACGTTTGTACACCATGGTGTCCCGTAGGTCACGCAAAAGGAGACTATGAGAAATGTCAGAAAGACCTAATTTGCCAAGATCTCACTTTTTATCCGATTACAATCTTCACGGCAAGAGTAAAAAGAAATTTGTTAAGCCAAAATAGTGCGCTTTACCATCAACGGCAAAATCATTGTCGATCAATCAGGTGGAATAGTTTTTTTTACATAAAACAATCGACAAATGAAATTACAGTCCATATGATTGGACTCAGGCGAATTCATAGGAAGAAAGAGTTCTGCCACCTAGTAGACAAGCACTGACTTAAAATGTGTAAAATAGACTTCTTGGCTTTCTATAAATGGCGTTACACCACCTCATGTAAAATAAAATAATATAAAGTAAAATAGCATAGTCACTGGATAATAGAAAAGAAAACATAAAATGATCTTGTATTTTAAAACAACAAAAGGTTAACCAACCTTACTGCGGGGACCTCCAGTATATCCCATTCGACGGACATGTAGAATTCAGAAAGATCTACTCCCACTGATACCACGTTGCTGCCCGCCTGTTCGTCCATGTGTCTCAAGTCCACCTGTGCACACACGCTCGTCCAAACATTATACAGTAATTTACATCCATTACACACCTCGGTCTTATTACAAAAAGTAGTTTTTAATTGGGTTTAGATTTAAATTTGAATCTGTGCGCTGAAATATGCGAAGTAAATGAAAAAGTATGAATTTGACAACGAATATCAAAACATAAAAGTGGCACCGCGGCTAAGAAGCTTCTTAAGTAAGAAGGACTTTCTTGAACCACAGTTTAAGCCTGAGGCTATCAATAAACCACGTTTTGTAACAAGACGAAATGGAATCATGCGATAATTGACAACATGTATTGCATTTAGTTATTAAAAAGATTTGGGAACTGATCGTATACTTGAATATACAGTATAAACAGAGTTAATAGAAAAAAATACATAATAGGTAAATATTATTTAGGTTATGAAAGACATACAAAATAAAATATATTTTCTTAAGATTTGACAATTAGTTAGAAATAACTAAATTTGATCTAGGTAGTCTTTTTGTCGATTCGAGCAATAACCATAAATTGTAAAACATCGAGTCACGAAATACAATAAAAAACGTAGCACACATTTTATTCGATTATGCATTTAATTGTTGCTTTAGAATTCAGGCGAATAACGATGCAATTTAGTTCTCTACATATTCACGCAGAACAAAAATATGTGTAATCGGAATAATAGCGTATTTGTGTTTAAGAAATAAGCAGTAATAAGCCGTATATATTTTTGTTCTAACGTAAATAAGAGTGTTTTATGGCGATATTTAGTTTATTTTCTTTTAAAAACAACTTACTTTGGTATTAATAATTATAACTTTTGTTTTTATTATTTCGATACATGCACCCAGTCACACAATGTGAACCTAAGCTAAAATTTCACACTTCAAAAACAGCATAATATGAGCTAAACACTAAGTCACACCCGAGCTTTTTTAATTCTTATCAGCATATAAATGGTAGACTTAGAAGACGATATCAAAACTAAACCATACCACAGAGTGTGCCAAGTAGGTACCTGTGTCGACAAAAGGATCTAAAACAAATATAAATCGTTTTAAGATCACCCATTTAAGACATTTATTTTCAAAGAAGATAACAGCAATAATGTCAATTCATGCGAAGTAATGACAACGCGTTAACATATAACACACCTAATGTGAAGATCCGAAGATTCTGGCGATCGTAAAGGGAGTCGGTCTTCGTATCGGACTCTTTGACGTAATCGCAAGGAGCTCAATCTCTCTTTAATATATGATTTAGCACACTAATCCCTGCGATTTGTCATAAGTAAGTTATAGAGGAGATCGGAAGCACCGGCCCCGCCGCGCTTGTGTGTGTTGCGCGGATGCAATACGCAACGTGCTGTTGAGACAAGCACTTAATGCCAATTCATAAAATTATTTTTCCTTATTGTAGTTATTTTCACATGCAAAACATTAATTTATTTCTGTTTTGTATTGGCACCAGCGCAGGTCGCTCTAAAGTGTAGCGGTTGCATGCAAATAGATTTCGTTGAGTGAATTCACAAGAACCGTTCAATTCCATCAACGAAGCGGCCACTACTTTTAAACATCTAATTCAATTTGTGTGCACTATGAACTCCATGTTTGCATTTGAATTGGACTGTATTCGATTTGTTACTGTGATGGTATTATATATCATGCGATGGTCAGCGACACTGAATTCTTACAGCCACTAAAGAGTCGCTAATAGGGAAAGGTATAAAATATGCAGTATAATGATAGTTTATGGTCGGAAAGTGTACTGGACCGTAAGTGTAAAAGTTGTTACTGATATATAGATCGTGCTGTGTTATACCTTGTCTCGTGTAGGTAACGTGTGAAGCAGTATTAGGGCCGTGGCCTTGGGTTGCGGCATGCGGCCATCGTGATCGGGAATGCAATTGGTTCAGAGTCAGTTCAGTTTACAGCTAAACATGCGGTGAGTGAAGAATACGCACAGAGAATTAAGAACATGCAAAAAGCACAAGAGTTGGTGGATCCAGTGTATTGTGTTGGTGTGACGCGAGCGGAGCCAGCAAGGGAGAGGATGTTAGGCGGAAAGACGCCGCTCCGCGCAGCGCTAGTCTACTTCACTACAGTCATTAAACAGATAAGTTAATAATTACCCATGTGATATTTTCTGATAGTTTTTTATAAATTTTTTTTCGGTCAGCACTCAGCGCGGAACGGCTCAGCCGGAATGGGACGTGTTGGAAAGGAGTCGAGTGATGTTGCATCCCATATCACCAGGCAGTTTGAATTTTATACCTTTCCGTGTCGAGCGATGGAGGCCGATCGAACTAAGTGGAACCGACCGAGTCTTAATCTGGAGCATTTGTGAACACGCGCGTTGATATACTGCTACTCCACATATTTTACGAACATCATCATCACAATAGATATTACTTGCAACATGACACTGCTAAAGGAGCTGGGGGGCGGGCAGCGGGCGGCATTGAGAGACGCTCGCTCTACGCCTCGACTCTAGCACCATCGCGCACGGTCAAATGTAACACATATCACAAGGACAGAAAGTTAATTACACGACGAATTACGTTCGAGCCAACAAGCTACTGCATGGACATCGGGCGAGGCGGCGGGCCCTAAGGCTACGGCCCGCACGCGTGGCGCCAAGCAGCGTACAGCGGGGCGTCACCTTGAAGCCGTCATATGTCCAGCTGCCTAATTTAAGCACACAGGTTTGCACGTCGTAAGGAAAGAACTCGACGTCGATCGAGCAGGAGGACTTATAGACGGCAGGCGGCTGCCACACCACCATGCCGTTGTAGTACACCGTCGCCTTCGTCATCAGTGTCACCTCGTAGTTCCCGTCGGCGCTGCGGACAAACAGAGCGGTCAGCAAGAGCGTTGAGTTACTTGCGAACAATTACCTTGAATCCGTCGTACGTCCAGCTACCGAACTTAAGAACGCACGTTTGCTCGTCGAACGGAAAATATTCCACGTCTATTTCACAGGAGGACTTGTAAATGGCGGGCGGTTTCCATTCGACTAATCCCTGGTGGTAGATGGTCGCCTTGGTCGCCAACGTTACCTCGAAGTTGCCGTCGGCACTGCAATGTTAACGCATTTTTACATGTGGCACGGGCCTCTTGTGTGGACCCTTCCATGTTGGTGCGTGTGTGTAGTTTGTAGCGTGGTCAGTGTCGACTTTAACGATGTCAACTGCTAGAATGCCAACAAAAACTTTGAACGTGTTTGTCTAGGTGCAAAACTGCGTGTGTGATATTTGAATTAATAATATACTCTGTGTACATATATCATTACATTACTGTCTATAAAATTTAATATATATAAATTACGTGTCACGTTGTTTGTCCGCGATGGACTCCTAAACTACTTAGCCGATTTTAATCAAATTTGCACACCGTGTGCAGTTTGGTCCAACTTGAGAGATAAGATAGTTTTTTGCTCATGAGTGACTCACAATTTTTTTTGCGAATTTAAGGATTTTAATAGGACATGACAAAGGGTCGTCAAAAAGGGCAGAACAACGTCTGCCTGGCAAGCTAGTATCTATATAACATTGCTTCATTCACAGAGTACGTGTTATATTTATTAATATCCAACGTATTTATTATTTATTTGCAATTACTACTCTATTACGTCATTTTTATTTAATTTCATATGGCTTCATTAATTTGTTTTATTATATTACTCTAAAGTCGTATGTTATATATAACATATAACACAACAACACATTATTTGTGTTTTCGAGACGTTGGTTCTTAAATGTGGTACGATCGGATAGGTGATTTTATATTTACAATGTAAAATGCTCAGAGTAGATTTGGCGTGACAATCATTGCGTCACCTACCGGAAAGGGCAGAAAAAAGTTTCCCAGACAGCTATAAAATATAAAAATGGGAACTGAGAAGAAAAATTGCAGACATTAGCGAAATAGGCACACAGGTTGCGGAGACGTCGGAAATGACTAACGAGTTTCGACTGGATCATTTGTCAAAGTCCGCTTGAAGGCAGTGGACAGGACAAAATGAATGTTGCCTTATAATTCAACAGCGTTTGTACCGCAAAAGTATCCCTCATGATGAATCTTTGACCTTAACTATCAGATTTGAGGAAAGTCTATTGCGTTTCTGAACTGCTTGAGATGTAAACATGATAAATGTTACCTCGCTTTGAGCTTTGAGCGTTAATATTTAAATTAAACATCGTATTGCGTATCTTTGGTGCGAGGCATTATGTATCGCGTTCGCCAAAATGTTGGGCGGTTACACTAAGACATGCAATTAGATTGCTTTTCGATAATGGAGTTATTACTATTATTGTTATTAACCCACCGTACGAAGTATCGAGTATGTATTATATATTAAAGGTCATAAAGACGCCAAAATTATTTAATTAAGATCCGTTTTAAAACAAGAGCAACCTCAATTGCGTGCACTATCCCCATTACCTATAATCCTAACACCACTACACTAGGAAAGACACCGACGTAACACACTAATTAAACCCTAATTTACAATTATTTTTCTATCGAGAAAATTACATGTTATCGAGTTTTCCTAATTACTGTGTTTCCATACATTTCAAGATAACATAGTCAAAAAACATATACCAAAAATTTGAAACTTTTCGCAAAGTAACGCCTCATTATATTAAATAAGTACTATACAAGGTTATCTTGACACATACGACCAAATTTGTAAAGGAGGTTCAATACAGGTAACATAAGCGAATGAGGAAAAAAAATAGGAAAAAAAAACACAAAAATTTGGTCCTTTTTATCTTTTATATTCAAAATGTGTGAAAATACATTATTTTAACTGATTGTCATTCATAAATATGTAGCGCCTACTATTTTATTACGCACGTACACATTCGTAAGGGAGCTTTCGTTTAAGCCGTTACACTGTTAGGTACGTTCGCTCGGCCGCGGCCGGTTCATTTGACAGTGACCTAATTACGTACCGAGTATTGTACTTTTAAATTTTCGTATGTAGTAGTTACTTGTCACATCGTTAGCAATGACGCAACAAAAATATTCGAACCGCGAATACTATGCAATGGTATGGTGTTACATTTTAAGCACTGATAGTTTACATGGTGTGCAAAGATATTACGGAAGACAAGGAATTAACGCTTGTGTACCACCCAATCGGAAAACTATTTCTGCAGCTAACCAAAGACTGTTAGACTTTGGACAGTTTACCAATCCATCACATTTTTTAAATAACCATTGGTGGAGACAGTAAAGCCCAAGGGGAAGACCTTGGGTGCTAGTTTGGACATAGCGAAGGCCTCGATAGAAGATATTGATTGGGTTTGGCACAAAGCGTTTCTTTCTAAAAATTCCTAGGGACTGCAGGAGTTCCATCAAGGTCGCAGTAAACGGTGCATGCTCCGATTACAAGCCTATTAACGCTGGTGTTCCACAAAGCTGCCTGCTATCACGCTGTTTCTTCTTCATATCAATAATTACAACTTTCAAACCGGTAACATGCATTGCTATGCGGATGACAGCACTGGTAATGTTTTTATACACAGGCTGTGCCTATATTTTTCGGGAAAACGTCACCGTGTATCGAAACAAACTTGTGTCTGAATTTGAGACTTTGTTGATCAAAGTCTCGGACTGTCCACTTCAATCCCCAGAAGACAAGTTTGCATATTTACCGCTAAAAAGAACCCCTTTATCTTCGTATCTTCTCAGTTTTAGGGCACTTTTCTTGTTGCCTCATATCTAATGACGTGCAGTTTCGTGGTCATTTGGAAGAGGCGCGAAATTGTCCTCTAAAAAGCTTGGCAGGCTCAGCAGAGCGGGACAGTATTTATTGCTGACACACCACCTGCAACTTTTACTTTAATATATAGAATACAGATCGTAAGCGACACAACCTCCCCCTTCAAAGGTCGAAGCGAAACTGACCGGGCGGCAGGAATCACGCTTCAAGAGGCCGATAGTTTACGTAATTTCTTCTTACAGTGAAAATAATGGTATTTTAAAAAAAGTTAATAACATAAGCACTGCTTTATATTTAGTTCAGTTAGTATGCAAAGTTTCATGATCTTATTTAAAGTATTTTATGAATAACAGCTGTTTATTGTTTATTTTGGAGGTAACTTTGGTTATTTTTTTTCTATCGAGAAAATCTTACGGAATCGTGTTTTCGACTAACATAATCCTTAACATTAATTCTCAACTATACAATATATTTATATCAAAATTAATGCTGCAATATTTTCGGCATAACGGAGGATCTTGCTAAGCCATTTGAGGTTATATTTCCCCTTAACGAGTTAAAACAATTATTGGATACCTAAATCTGTAACTGAGCGCAAGCGGCGAAAGCCACCAACTGCTTCCGAATTCAACACTCCCTTACGAATGGGTATGTGCGTATAAAATAGTAAGCGCTTCATATTTATGAATCATAATCAGTGAAAATAATGTATTTCCACACATTTTGAAAATAATGGATTAGTATATTTCATTACGAGTGCGGAAAGCCTATCATTGCAAAGAGTTCCGACAAATGTCTACCCGAGCCGATGCACAGCCGAAGGTGAGGGTTGACAGTCGGAACAAGTTGCAATGACGGTTACGCACGTGTACTGAACAACTATTTTTAATACAGTTGTGAAATAATGAAGCAATTTAATAAAATAATAAAAACACAATAAACTCAACTAACTTGGGTATTCATTTATATCCACGTTGTTCCTTATTTTCAGCATACTTTTTATCATCGAAAACCTCGACCATAACGTAGAAGGTTTTAATTTTGCTGAGAGTTCGGAGAAGTATGCCAACACAACATTTTCAGAAAAACTATTTGCATTTTTCTCTTTTTTCCAAGCAATTCCTCGTATGTAGATATGTGGCGACTTTTTTACTTTTCCGGTAAAATGTTCTCCGAAGCATTTTGTGCAATTATATTGAGTTCCGGTGGTGTTAATTCAAATAAAATATCGTCGAAATTACTCATTTTGTACAACAAACAACTAAACTCGCAAAGAACATTTTTGGAAAATGGCGCCAACCGTAAAAGAATATATAATGCAGAGATTTTTTTTGTTTTCTTTACCCATTCTGGAAGTCTTCAGTAGAATTTTTTTATTGATATGAAATGAAAATGAAATTTAATGAGATGAAATGAAATGAAATTACATTGAATCAAACCATTAAATCTGATATTGAAACAAATTAGTAGCTTCTTTTTAGAAATATTTGCATGAATCATAAAAACTTCTATGAATTTTTTTTTAGTAAAAACTTCGTGGTTAGTTTTTTTTCTTTTTAATAGACATTATTTTGACAGTTGGGAATGAGAACACACGAGTTCGGAAAAAGTAAAGTAAAAGCTCGAGCATAGATTACTGTATATATACTAGAGAGCTCGAGTATGTAATAGCCCACATCCCGAACGCTATACGTCCCAGCAATACGCCACTTTTTGAGCAACTGTATTAAAAAAAATCAGTTTATTTCTTGTTTATATTTTTTCACCATTCACTTATACTACCAATTATAAACCTCCTATGAAAATTTGTCCGGTTGCTTTCCGTTAATCTCGATAAAACTCGAAAACGGCTCGAACGATTTTGATGACATTTTTGTATGGTAGGTGGCGCTGTTTTTGAGAGCCATAAATCACCCGTGCAAAGCCGGGGCCGGTTGCTAGTTTCTAATAAAAACCAATTTAAGGTTAATCAATAGTCTTATAATCTTGTTAACTAATCCAATGTTAATTTATATACAGCCTAAAAATTTTGTAACTTCCCGCAAACGAGCCGTTCATCTAATTATGTAACGAGGAGCAAGTTCTAGAGAAGGTCTTATATTAAAATGAGACATTCTGCCGCTAACTTTGTTATTACAAATGTTATCGCACCGAAGTTTTAAGCGTTTCTCGCTTTTATGAGGATCAGGAAATTTGCGAACTAGACCACGAGGATGCGGTGCGTCTTATATTAAATTTTGAGTTTGTTGAAACCGATTAATACCTACTAAGTTTTTGGAAAACGTGGGATTGTTCAATATCTATCATTTATTTTACATTGCCTATTGAGTAAGAATTTAATACTAAATAAAAGAATGATGTAAAAAAAACATCATCAGTTGTCAAAAAGTATATAATGAGTATAAAAATTTGGTGTGAATTAGAGGATGTCAAAATTGTGCACCAATAGAGAAAAACCTCAGCATATATAAGCATAGCTTGCTTATGTATACTGGAAAACCTGATTATGTCTTTACTAAATTTTTAAAAAGATTTAAAATGATGGAATTTATGTTTAAAAAATTACATGGATTTTTCGTACGTATGTTTATATAAAACACGTGGTAGAGCCATGCTGTAGCTTCATTATAAGGTTTGTAAGATTAGATGTAACACGAATGGGTCCCAGAAGACGCGACCCAGGAGCCATGTGTTTCGTGTTGTGATTATAGAAAACCGGTGACTAATTTTATTGAAAAGGAAGCATTCCATCTAAATTCTCAGAGCTGACAACGCTCGTTTGCCAACCTTATAAAAATACGGTGTAATATCAGTGCACGAAATGAAAACTATGATATGGTAGATCGTTTTTACCATATTAGTATTGATATCGTTAGCATATCGATGAGGGCGATAGCAAATATATCGCGCTGTAAGCTGTGGATAATCGAGAATTCATGAATCAATACCGGCGATGGGAGAACAATAGGCAATATATTATGCGCCTTAAAGCAGCCTCTGTATCGATCTCTACTTTCTTCTGCTTTTGTATGGATATACGCGTATACGAGTCTTTGTAAATTGTAGTATTTTATGTGTATTAATAAAATCAAGACTTATATTTATTTATTTAAAACTTCATATACACAAGTGGTATATAGGCGGACTTAATGCCTAAGGCATTCTCTCCCAGTCTACCTTGGGATGATGCAGAGATAAAATGAAGTAGGTGTAATAAAAAGTTAATATGCGAATACTAAAATAAAATAAGAAAAAAATTGTAATACATGGAAATAAAATACATAAGATATAAATGGTACATCGCAAAAAATAGATAAAATGAATTATAATAAAATGAAAAATAAAATAACTAAGATAATAAAAATGTATAATACATAAGTACATATTATAATGTCAGATGTATATAAACTCATAAAGATATACAAATATACATGTTATCAAAAAAATTTACAAAAGTATATTAATATTCATACACATATATGTATATAAAATATATAATATACATAATAATAATAAGAATATAGTACTAGTAATATAGTATAAACTGTTACTATGATGATTCTGCCAATTTATTAAGTAAGTGTCCTGATTTCGAGAGGGAGTGCGTTCCAAAGGAGAATAGATTGAATGTGGAAAGAAGAATGAACAAGTCCAGAGCTATGGGAGGAACATAGGAGAAGAAGGTTGTTCGTAGAGCGGAGGTTTCTCTCATGACTAGCACTAAGCAACTGAAAGTAAGGAGATAAGTAGGAAGGGGAAGTTGGAGACATCAGGATAGAATAAAGGGTGGTGAGTGCACGCAAACAACGGTGTTGACGAATAGGTAACCATTTTAATTGAGATCGATACGTGGATACATGGTCATGCTTTCGAAGATTGAAAATGAATCGAATGCAGTTATTCAGAAGACGGTCATATTTGTTGAGAAGATCTGCATTCAGGTCGAAATAACACACATCACCATAGTCGATTAGGGGAAAAATTAAACTCTGCACAAGCATTGTCTTAATTTTAGATGGTAGAAAATTTTTTAGGCGATAGAGAGAACGCAGGGTACCAGTGACTTTCTGGCTAACGGTCGTTGTTTGGGTTTTCCAACTCAAAGTAGAATCAATTAATAAACCTAGATCCCTTACAGTGGAACACAATTGAATCTCTGTACTATTAAAAAAGATAGGAGGTAGAGCTACTGTTTTCAATCTCTGGATCATCGGACGGCTACCAATTATTATGGCCTGACACTTCATTTATTACTACTTCACTTACTACGCTTTGAAAATCTATATTACAAAATAATTTTTAAATAATTAGTTGAATATATATATATAATGAAATTAAATCGTTCTGAAAACTAATAAATAAATTATAGAATCAAATATATATATTTATTTGTTGCATACTTCATGTACACCTTGATTTAATATTTCTTCCTTTGTACACTGTTTCGAACACTGTTTCATTATTATATTTTTTATCTATGTGCAGTGTAGCGTAGGATTTCTGACGGCGACTTCGGCGCAATAAAAGTTTAGCATGATGTAGTAGTGAATATTGTTACAAACCTTTTTGCTGACGGTCTTGATTCTAATTTATTATATTGTTTTAATTTATTTGATTGATTTGTTATTTATACTGATTTAGTTTATACATATTTATTTAGGTGATTACTGCATAACTAAGGTGATTTCTGAGGTTATGAAATATTTTAGTGTGAAGGATTTTATTAATGTTCATAAATTAATTTAGAATAAATTGAAATGTTATGTTTAGAGTTAGGATATAACGACACCAGTGAGGAAATATGCTGTTAAAGTGTGTTTTATGAGTTTGTTTTTAAATACGTATTATATTTAGTACACACATTTTCATAAAATATTTTAGAAAATCTTTTAGGGCATGTCTAGTAGCACTACGTTAGTCACTATTTTTACATCGCACATCTCCTTTGTTGAAATCAGTTAAAATTAACGTGTTGGATCTTACGTACCTACAGGCGGGGAAGAGCAACGCTTTTATAGAATACCAGCGTGTATTTTTTTTTGTAGTAACGGTAACCGGATACCTTTTTTACTGGTGACGTTAACGAGGCATTCCATCTCAGTTCTCTTGGGTCGCATCTGCATTTTGGTTCAAAACTGACTATCAAAACTGAGTATAGATGTAGGTGTCTACGGGTTAAAACATCTACTTACCATCAGGTACTGTGTCACATCTAATTTTCTCACAATTTTGTTTCAGATCATGTAAATCTGATGTAATGAAAGCACTATAATAAGATATCTGTGTATAATATGAGATGTCTTGTAAAGAACTGTGTCGTACAACTCTGAAAAATGTTAATAATGCGTGATTATGTTTTTCAAATTTTCTTATAATTTTGACAAACTGATCATTTGAATTCTACGTCATATCTAAATGTTATTTTCTATTTATGTTTATTGTGACTAGCGCATTGTTACTGAGACTGCATTTATTTAAATGGGTCGTTAATACAATTAACACAGAGACTTGAGATAGATTTTTAACATCTCACTTATTGTAGAGCACGATATCCGGTCGCCAGATATGGTCGGAGGGAACGTGCAGCATGTGCACGCCTCCATACTCGCGCGGCTCCCAACGCAGCTTGTAGTCATACCATGACTGCTCCACCCATAAGTTTGTCGTCATTATTTGATTCTTCAAGTTCTGTAACAAAATAATTTATATTTACTTTGCCACAATATTATAAACGGGATATAGTCGTATACATAGAATACTATAATACATACATAATAGAACGGGGGTGTGGGCGGAACCCGTGTAGCCACTAAAATGCCACAAGACGTCAATTCAAATGTATAAATGTCAACACGAGATGTGTTTTGACGTTACAATCGTTTCCGAATTTCGCATGCAGATTATTTAGTAAATAACAAATTACATGCTATTAACAAATAAATATGTATTAAAATCCGTCTGTCAACACAGCGAATCGGGTTTGTAGTGATTTGTAGTGATTAACTGATAATACGACGTAATTGCTTGTATGTGTGCTCCTGGCGACGCCGAACCTCGGTACAAAATAAGGTTGATAGCCATTCTATTGTGTATTATAGTATTCTATGTTCGTATATATTACTTTTGGTATTACTCCGTATTTAATACAGACTTTATTAGCGTTGACTTTTGTAAAGTAGTGTCGTTATCAGGTGAATACCTATGCAAAAACATCGCCAGCAACGCTAGTTCAGGATAAAGCAACTGACCGTGGCAAAATTATCCTAGTAGCTTTTTTTAACGTGGTGGAGCCACGCTACAGCTACATTATGTTTGTAGCACGAATGGCTCAAATAACACCTTAATGCTACTGTGTTACGTATGGTGAGTGTAGAGATCCGGAGACCCTTTTTACTGAAAACGAGGCATTCCATCTCAGTCCTCAGGGCTGGCAACGCATCAGTATTTTGATTTTTATTTGAAGATTAATGTAGATGTCTATGGGCCACAGCATCCACTTACCATCAGGTGGAATGTGTGCTCGTTTGTCACCCTTATTCTATAAAAAAGAAGCTAGTAGTAAGATTTACGTCACGACCGTGCAACGTCTGTCCATGTTGCAAATCAAACGCTGACACGAATCTCGTATGTATGTTGTATATTGTATAATCTATGGACATTAGACAACAAATTGTATACGCTGTAGGAAATGTGTTGTGTATGAGCGGAATTCAAAGAACAAAGACGTGTTCTCCCGACACCACACCGAGACTGGATCTCCGCCTCTATTACGTTTCACTGCAGATACGTTAAAGACGTGTGCCGTTGCATAACGATGGTGGGTTCAGGTTTCTCTCTTCAGTATTATAGGTATATAGGCTTGTAATATTAGTTTGTGCGATTGGAAAAGATTGACAGAATAAGTTTATGAAAGAACCGTCAGTAACTTCTACCCTCACGATCACGCTTTCTGTAATATATTAAACATATTCCTTCGTTTTTTTATTTAATTTAATAATAAATTTATAATACAGTGGTGTTACTTAATTCTAAACTCGCCAAACTTTTACGTTTGATGGAGAGAGGCGTACTTTACGTAGCAATGAACAACCTTATGTCCTAATATTGGGGTGATGCATGCCTGTGTTCGGGTTACGTACGTTAACTCCCGCGTACTGCTTCGCTTTTTTACGGTTCCTATAACAGTAGATATTTTCTTTCTATTTACCAGCGCCCGGAAATCAAGTGTTATCGTATGTGTTATATGTATATTTAAGTATAGCGTACGTAATCACCGCGTGGATTCATTATAATATCATGAAATTATTAATTAGTTTTACTATATTTTTATTAAAACAGATGTTTTACAGGATGTAACCCATAACCTTGCCAAGTTTCATTAAAATCTATCAAGTCGTTTCAGAGCCCATTGTGTTTAAAAGGACAGTAAAAAAGTATTTTGGCTCCTTTAAACAAGATCGTCCGTAAAAAAGATTAACGAAAAACGCAATTACAATGTTCAATCTATACTACAATGAAATTGTTCCTAGGCCAAATCGGTACCTGAATATTTTTATTTCAGATTATAGGCACAAAGTCAACATGTCTTTTCTGTACGAGACTACTCGAATATAACGAAATGGCCATCGCTCTTACGCTTACCATTCAGAAGTTCAGAAAAGAGCGCTTAGCCCTTCTCTCGTTGCATATCCGTGACAGGTTTCCACACCACTGAATCTGACGACGCATTAATAAAGCTTCCAAACCGCAGACATTAGCTCGACGTAGTACATTAGTCTTCCTGACCTGGTCTGAGCACCTGAAGTTAATAATATCGCGGGGGAATTGTTTGTTGGAACCGACTGAGCCACTTAAACCCAAATCTACATCAGGCCTTTGGAAGTTTCCGAATACCATTTACCATCATTACCGTTTGTTAAAGTCCATTCCTGAACATACGCTACCTATTAATTCCCCCAAAAGGGAGATATTTTGCCATGGTTGCTTATTTGCTGTACCTGGGACCCGTAGTTTTTTATTATTTTCCGCTTGTTATAAGACGCTACTGCCCATTTCCTGGGTTGCAGCGTCTGCCTGTATTTGTCACCTCTTTAACACCTACGGATTTGGGCCCGTGCATATACAGCAGTCATCAGCAGTCGCAAGAGACTTGGTACGCGGCTTCAGCCTTCACTGTGCCGAAACAGAATTCGTATTCAATTAAGGTACGAGGGGTGATCCAAAAGTAATGATAATGAAAATAAAACACGGTAATTAAAGTTAAAATAATAATTTATTTTTCTACATAGTCTCCTAACAAATCAATACATTTAGTCCATCTTTTTTCTAAACCCAGGATTCCCTTTGAAAAAAATTCTTTGTCTTGACCCTCCCAAAACGCTTCAACTTCTTCGAATTTCTGGCCTCGGAGGCGTTCCTTGAGCCGAGGAAAGGGGTAGAAGTCACTAGGAGCTAGATCTGGCGAATAGGGAGGGTGTTCGAGCAGTTCGAATCCCGTTTCTTGAATGGCAGCCATCGCAACTGCGGCTTTGTGAGTCGGTGCGTTGTCTTGTTGAAACAGCACTCCAGCTCGCAGTTTGCCGCGTCTTTTTTCCTTAATGGCCTCCCGTAATCTTCTTATTTGGTCTGCGTAGTAAGAGCCCGTAATAGTGGCTCCCTTTTCCAAATATTCCACCATAATTATACCTTGAGCGTCCCAAAAAACAGATGCCATAACCTTTCCCGCCGAACTTGAAACTTTGAATTTCTTTGGCGTCGGTGAGGAGGCTCGCTTCCAAGTCATCGATTTTTGTTTCATTTCAGGATCAAAATGGTGGATCCAGGTCTCGTCCATAGTCACTACGGAACATAAAATTTTCTTGATCTGCTTGGAACTTTTCGAGAATAACCCTCGAAATGTCAATTCGATTTTTCTTTTGCTCGTCGGTTAACATTCTGGGTACCCAACGCGAAGAGACCTTTTTCATATGCAACTTGTTCGCAAGGATTCTTTGAACGCTGCCATATGAGATCCCTGTGATCTCAGCTACATGCCTGATGGTCACTCTTCGATCTGCCAACACAAAATTTTCGACTTTTTTCACGTTGTCTTCAGTGAGGGACGTGGATGAGCGTCCTTCGCGATGTTCATCTTCAGTGGTGTGCTGCCCAGTTTAAACTCCTTGGCCCAGCGTGTAACTGTAGAATATGGAGGAGCAGAGTCCCCCAATGTTTCCACTAAGTCACTGTGTATGTCTTTTGAAGACATTTTTTTCAAACAGAGGTACTTGATGACAGCTATAATTTCATTTTTCTCCATGTTGATATTATCTATTTGACAGTTCTTATTCAAATGAATGTATCTCCCGGAAATCTTGATCTATTTATATGATTTTAATAGGCTGACGTAGTGAGTATATAAGCAAGCAAAAAATATTTTTTTTTTTGGTATTTTATGCGGACCTGAAGTAACCGATTATCATTACTTTTGGATCACCCTTCGTACGTGAGCGTATTATGGTCATCTTAATCTTTGAGGCCCTATAAAACCAAAACTAACAGAAGGACAGAGACAAAAATGCAAAGTCATATACTATAACTAATATATTAAGAAAAAACAGCAAACAGGCTTTGGAAATTATTAAGAGCACTTCTAAAAATCACCTATAAAAAATTAACTACACAACACAATACTCAAATCGACTTAAATATTTGCTATAATGTCAATTGTCAAAATGGCGTCGATAAAGCAGCGTCCTATTGAACCAAAGAGATTTAAATGTATATTGAATCTTTATTATTTGATTAAATGATGAAAAGTTATTTTATCATAAAGCCATCTATGCATACAAGGCTGTAGTTTTTGAGTTATAAGAAAGTGACCATATTAACCGGATGACCATAATTACCATCACGTACTATATTCAATTTATACGACTTGCGATACTTGGTAGTAGCCAGCCCGTTTACACTAGACGAAAATGATGTAAAAGCCGACGACTGAGAGTAACGTCAAAGGCATCTGAAGTCTGATACTGTGAAAGACAATCCGCCCGCCAAGACTAGCGAGTAATCAAATCGTTCAGAAGTTACACGATTACTGACAGACGTACCAAAGATTATACTCCTATATATGTAAAGATCACGGATAAATGTAATCCCACCAAAAATATAAGAGGCAAATCCTTTTACAGAGCGAGAGGCCCACGTCTAGCGATAGGCTTTTACGGGTTGATGTCGAAGAAGAACATGTAATCATAAATTAATACTAACATTTACATTAAAATCTTAAAGTAAATGTAATAGTGCATTTCCTACATTCCGTTTCTCTTTGGTGCTTTGAATAAAAGTCGCAGTGTTATTTTAAAACAGAGAGAACGCCCGAATATTTTAAAAGGATTACTCTCGAAAGACCTTTGTTTTAAACGCTGAATGTGAGTACGGTTGCTCTGTAGTTTTGTTAAACCCGAGCGCAGATTTCTGTTTGTTATTGTATTCCCTTAGCAATGTGTATACTTTTATATAAAAAAGAGTAATGCTAGTTGTTTTTACTCAATTAGTTATTAAAATAAATAATAACACACATTATTAATATTCGTTCTTGCAATTTTATTAAAGTTATAAATGTGTAATTTAAAACAAATTTGCATACTAAAACTATCGGTGATATGAATGTCAGTCAAATTAGAAAAAATAATTAGTGCCACTGA